ACCACCACCAAGACCACCACCACCACCAAGACCACCACCACCACCAAGACCACCACCACCACCACCACCACCAAGACCACCACCACCACCACCATCACCGCCAGCACCACCAAAACAACCACCAACACCACCACCACCACGACCCCCACCACCAGGACCACCACCACCACCACCACAACAACAACAGCAACAACAACAAACACACCACATCACAACAGAAGCCAGAAAGGCACAACACAAGCAAAAGCGCAGCCACCAACAAGCCAACCGCCATGGATGAGAATATTCGCCTGGCTACAGAGAGTGGTGGAAAGGCAATCCTGAAAAGAAAGAACAAGCCCACTCGACCTTAGACTTATACACCTTCACTGCTTTAACAAGTATAGACGGCCATGGTGGGCACTCTCTATCCTGGGCGTGGCTTGCAACACTTTCAACGAGGGCGCTCAGGCCATGAAAACGCATCGACAAAGGCGCTGCCAAGAAAGAGGTCCATACAAGCCTCCACGGATCATACGGCTTTTTACCCAGTGACCAACCGCGAGTTCCTTCCCGATTCATCCCGCCTAAAACACCCAGTGCGCGCGAAGCTCACGGGGCTACCATTGCCTTTGGTACTGGGGCTCTAGCAGGATAAAACGTTAATACAGAATAGCCAACCGACCACTTGCAACCTTTGCCATACTCTCATCCATAAGCCAACTACACAACGAGCAAAAGCAAAGCATTAATCAATCATAAAATATATATTCGTCCATTCATATCATTTATATAGTCTATAATTTCAATTGGTTAGTATATCAATTTTTCAATAAAACCATGGAATATTAGCAATACATTACATTTTTTACGTCTTTACCTTCTTAATTTTCTAATCAAAACAATAGAAATAATATAATTAATTAATTAAGCGATTAATCGATCAAATAATAATAATTTCATTAAAAACAATTATCAATATATTTATATAATTCAATATATATAAATTCAATATCAATATAATATTAACTTCTATCTCATAACCATATAATACCAAAAGTTTCTCAACATTGTCAATTAATTCATTATAGATTTTCAAATTTCAAATCTAATTACGTATGCATTAGTTACCTCCGGACGATTACAATAAAGGACGTTTCGTATCCTTTTCCCTCGTAAGCTAGGTGTATCAACGAACAATAAGCGCTTTCAATTCTTAAAATCCTACGGAAAAACAGAAATAAAAGTGAGAAAAATCTACACGAAAATCGATCCGAGGCGAGATAAAATAAACTAATAAAAGACAAAAAATTCAACAATCCAAGAACGTCTCAAAAGCACATGCTCCCAAATTCCTAGCCCGCAATTCAAACAAAGACCTACAAAAATGGAAAAAAAAAAAAAAACCGAGAACAACCCCATTTTAACCTTACACTTTTACAAAACGTACCATCAAAACTAACAAAAAAACCCAAATCGAATCAATCTCTTTAAACCCTTAATCCCAAATTTTTAAACAAGATCTTTAACCCGTTCTCCTTCCCCAATTCTTTGAACCCTTCATCCCAAGTCTTTAAACAAAATCTTTGACCCCTTCTCCTTCCGAACTCTCTAAACCCTTCATGCCAATAATTTTAACAAAATCTTTGACCCGTTCTCCTTCCCAA